AAAATCCAATGGCACAAATTCTTCCTGTCACATGATCTAACTACAAGGGGGAAGTAGGGCACAGATAGAGAAATATGGATTTACTGACTGTCCCTTCATTATCTATCACTCCACATGCTCTTTGTTTTAGAGGCTGATCATCTAGGTCACTTTCTCTGCTTTTCTTCCTAGGCATGCATGAACAGAGCACACGCTCTTGGCCATTTCATACGGTAAGCTGTGGCTACCTAGTTACTAGGCTTTGCCCATCCCTATAATTTATTTCCTATAAATAGATCTCCTTTCTCTTATAGTTTTATTTATGTTTATTTGTTTATTCAATTTGTACACCACTCAATTCCTGACAATTCCCAATGATGAATAATTGCTCAGGTCATATTTCTGCTTTCAGGAACACTCACACAGAGCGAATATTTCAACTTCCAATCCCTTGCACCCTTCAAAAATGGTTTGGAGATGTGCTGTAGAATTTGTGCCAAGTGCAACACTTCCCAGCTATTCATTAAAAACAGCCTTTTTTTTCAGAGTTCTGCATAAACCTGAAAAAAGGTAACACTACTTTAAGGAGTCAGATTCACTTTAATGAATTAATTTTTTAAGCATCTGCTCTTTTTCTTTTTCAAGCTCATATAGAAGCTGAAAAAGACATGGTGGTTTTAATGAGTAGCAGAGAGGTATAGTAGTCATGCTTGATTGAGATCCAAAGCACTGCTTCCAAATCCTTCTCATAGTAATATGCTTCCATGCCAATTATTCAGAAAGTATGCTTCCGTGCCGAAGGTGGGACTAAAATTCATGGTCTCCTGGTTTCTAGCCTGGTGCCTTAGCCACTACACCAAGTTCATTTTGACATATTAACAATTACAATTTGATACCAATTTTTGGAGGAGTGGGTGGCCTAGAAGCCTCAGTCTGTGCCCTCTTTGTTTAGATGGCTCTTTGATGGCCCTTAGTAGGGATCATCAACATACCTTGATTTGGCTATACTTACTTTACAGTATGGTTGCTGCTTGGTGACTCACCATATGCTACCAAACTTTGACATGGGGAGAAGAACAAAGAATTCTTGAGCTACTCAGTTCGTTTTTCTGAGGTTAATACTTCTATAGAAAAAGAAAGTAGCACTTGGGGTTTCACAACACAAGGTGGCAGCATAAAATGTTGTTCTTGCTGTAGAGATGTAAGAAAAAGCATAGTAAAGCAAATGTCTAAGAACTTGCTGAAATTTATAGTTATCTTCTCCAGAGCATGAGTTTTTTTCTCTTGTGACATTCAGTTATCAGCAGTGCCTCTTGGAACATAGCAGGTTGTCCACAGAGAACAATAGTACTGTGACACTTGATATGACTGAGAAATATATTGTTTCAAAGGAAGAAACAAAGAATCCAACATAACATAAGCCCTTTCTTACCATAACTACTTCAATTTTTCTGAAGTATTTATTTATTTGTTCATTCATTCATTTTATTCCCACTCTTCTGACTGTCCCAGCCCCTTCCAAAGTGGTAAGTGAATCAGTAATTCTCTCACTTGGAATATAAATCAAGGTTTTGCTCAGAAAGAATTGTCCCTTGCAGAGAACCTCATGTCCGAAGTTGTTGTTACATTTTATCCTCAGTGAAACACTGATGACTATGGGTGATGTGAATAGTCCAACTGACTTTTCAGCCTTACGTGCTGCTTTTTTATACAGTTGTATTGGTTCTTGATTGCTTCCTGTAACTGCTTTGTGAGATTGCTATCCTTCATTAAGGCCTATAATCCTCTTCTATTTCTAAATATACTATGGAAGAGAAGAAGAAATGCTTAAATATCCAAGTGAGAATTTTTTTTTACAATTGGACCTGAAAGATTAAGCCCCCATCCAACAGAGCAGCAGATAAAGAGAAGTGAAGTAAGTAGGCCAACCTGAGTATGTATGACCCACATAGTTAGATACAGAATTACTTGCTAATTTTAAAAATATATTATTTTCTGTAAATACTGTTTATTCTCAACTAGATAATGTGGCTGTTTAAAGTCCTCTCTTCCATAAGACCATAAAATGCAAGATCTGAAAGTACATACCATCTCTATTTATTTATGTATTAAAGAAATTTATATTGCCACCCAATTTGAACAATTGTGACCCTGGGCAGTATACAATTAATAATTGTATTTGTTACAATTTGTTTTTGTTTTGCTGCATCATTGATATATATGAGCCAATATTTCAAAGCTGGGAAAGCAGTGTGAGAAACTTTTTTTTTTTTTTTACCAGATATTCATTGAGAAAGCTTTGAAATATTTAGATTATTCTGAACTGAGTTAATAAGATCACTCATCACTAAACATATCAAAAAGCTGGATATTTATCTAGCTGTGAACATATTTTCTTTGCAGTAAACTCCTTTCTTAGCCTGCTCTACAAATAGAGCAGGAAGAAGCTTTTATTCATTGTATTTATTTCAGTGAGTATAAATATAGCCTCTCTTTTTAAAAGTTGGGACCTACTATTTGCTCTCTTCCTGGCAGTATCTCCCATCTTTACTTTGTTCTGTTTCTTTTCTCTCTTTCCAATTGTGTCTTAATATAGATTCAGTTTTGCTTTTTAAAATGCAAGTTATGATGCATGTTAATGTAACTAGTCTATTCTAAAACTAGAGTGAGATGTACTGTGCAAATGAAATCTGGTTTAGGTCCCAAATCCACAATTAGCAAATACTCCTTATTCATCAACACTGCCCATCTTAGCCATAATGGAGGTAAGGTAATGGAACTTCTTTTTATTGATTCTCCTGGTAGTTGAAGAAAAGTGTAATTGCTATCCTAAATTTAATCTTGTAACACTCATCTGTTGCCAACCTTCTGTTCCAGTGCCTTCCTGGAAGCATTGGAGTGAACTTTTGAGCTCAGTTCCAAACTCACCATCTTCCAAGCACACTACCCCCAAAGTTAGACAATATATATATGGAGAGTTTCTCTTAACTTAGTAGGTTTGGACAGATGGCTAGTGAATAAAGTACTGCAATTTAGTGCAGATTACATATGGTATTTATTTAAAAGAGTATTTAATGGTACGTTCAGTGTTATTGTTTTATTTTATTTCTCTTATGGATGACATCTGCTCATGAAAATGGGAAATATTCATGTTGGTAAAGGTACTGATAGAATATTTATTTCAAGAACAGAATACAAATACAGACTTTTTTGGATCTACACCAAATAATATGAAATGAAATGCTCAGAACAAAAAGGAAGACCACAATATTCTACAAATGTATTACAACTTATAATACCAGTACCAAATGCACCTTAAGCAGAGAAGCATATGAGTTAATCATTATGGGGTTTTTTTCCACAGCAAAAATAAGCAATACTGTAAATCAGTTCTTTTTCTTCCTCAATGAATCTATAACTCTCATGCCAAAGAGTTATTCAATATGTGTGAAGTGAGCATTTCATTATATAGTCCCAGGTGTGGGTTTTTTGGCATCAATAATAGGTTGGCTGATCATTGTACACTGTCCACAGAACTGATATTGGAAATCTGTGAAATAATCATGGAGGGCTTGTTTCTTTGTACAAGTAGCTGGAGATTAATTTTTTAGAGCTCTGTTATTATGTGCGAACTCTTAAACTTGTATTCCTTCACTACTGTAATTGTTTGCATTTCAGTTCATGCTGAATCCAAGAGTCCGAGAATCAGATTTTCTTTTCTTTTACCCAGCATATTTCTGATTCATCTTTTAACCTTCCATTTGGCTTTGGTTTCTCTCTCTCCTTTTTGTGATTATTTTGTGACTTGGAAATTGAATTAGTGCTCAGGAATACAAACGAATGCCTGATTATTTGCATGTTCCCTGACTAAAAATCAGGATGTGCTGCTTATTGATGATTTACTGTTTTGGGTATTCAGACAGGGGATGGATTTTTCTCTATTGCTAATTGACAAAGAAAGCTCTTGTATTAAGACACACTATTTTAAGGATCTGAAAGAAATTAGATGGATTTTTTAAATGTGGTCTAGTAAGGTAACTATATCACTATAGCTAATGAAAAACAAAGAAATAAACAAAAAGCCCTGAAAATTGCTAGGTTGGCTTGTGCGTGCATGGCTGCCATTCTCTTTTTACAGTATTGTCTGTTATTCAGCAGCAGTGGTCATCCATTTCCAGTCCTTCATTATCTGGTTAGTGGTGAATTAGTGCTAACTCAGGAGCATTTGAGAGGAATTGCCAGCTTGTTCTGAGACCATTTGTGAAATGGTCTCAGGTGGCCACAGGTACTAGTGTTTAATTTAGTTTTAGTTTAACATGCAGCCATTGGCTTACAGGGTCAAACCACTTCCTGCCTGTTAGACAATGTTTATTTATCAAAGGTGGATCTGGAAAATTAGGAGAGAGGTGTTATTTAACTTCCTTGGTGCTTGAATGGTGCTTTAGCTACGAGCTGATCAAAGGAGTATTCAGTCAAAAAAACCCTTGCCAATTAAGATCAGGGCCGAGCTATCTCACGGTGGTCAATTTTCTACAAAGTGAGGGAATTAAGCTTGCTACCTAAAAATTGTACCTCATGACTAGTTATGATGTTCTGTGATGTCAGAAACTGTTTTTGCTTACTTTACTCTTCACAAACCCATACTTTTCCTTTGTCCATCAAGACCACGTATAGATGGAAAGGATAAAGTGCTTGGAGTCCCAGTGTTGTCGTTCCAAATTGTATTAGCAAGCATATGACTCTGTACTGCAAAAATATTATTTCCTTCTCTTTCCCCCTTCTTTTAGAAAATATTCAGTAAAGATTTCTTGATAGGTAATATATTAAAAAAAATAAAAATGTTTTTATATCTTTATATGTTTTATCTTTTGGATGATTTAGGACAATTTTTTAATTTATAAAACAAGTATATCCTGATGTTTATCAAGAGACAGGATATACATGGTGTATTTTCAGATTGTATCAAAATAATTGGACACAGTCTGTTGGGCTGATAGTAAAAAGAACAGAACCCCCCCCCCCACACAAATTTTGATTTGGATTTATTCAGAAATTCTCTTTATCCAAACTCTTATATTTTGGAGTTTTCTTAAAGGACAACCAAGATATTAAAAATGTTCCATGCTATTATTTCAGTTCTGAATGTAGTCCAGTAAACTGTGCATACATTCCAGTTCCTTTTGCTCTTTCTTATTTATTTTCTCTCTTTTTATTTCCAGTGTATATTTTGCTATGATAAAACACATGAAAAATACAAAAGTAATCCTGATGTTATGGTACATATGCTTCAGTCAGGACTATGTAGCACATCAGTAAAGCTGTGCACAAAAACATGGCATGGAAGTAATATTGTGAGATGTGGGGGAGAAACCAATTCTGTTAAGGAAAGGAAGTGAAATTCTCATCTCTTTTGATGTATGTCCTGGTGGAATAAGCAGGAGAAACAACAAAGAATATAATGGGGAAATAGTGTCATCTCCAATATTGGTAGTTTTAGAATACTCACATCTAGCAGAACGCAATGCATTATTTTCAGCATCCAACAAAGTCACTGTGGAATTTGGCACTTGCAGGCAGCAAATAGCTGAGGTTGTGGCAGACAGCAAAAGTGAAGTATCATCTAATGGGACACTAGCAACTTGCTAAAGTTTCTGGAGTACCTTCTGAAATCAGTAATTTCTCCATGAACTTAGTGCTCGGAAGGAGCAGGAGGCATGAGAAATTTACTAGCCCTTTGCAGTGTGCTCTCAGTCAGTCTTTGAAAAAAAAAGTTGCACAATAGTATTAAAATGCGCATCTTCACTGTCCTGTTGTTTTCGTCATCGTATGGAGAGCTGTGAAACAGAAATAAGTGCTCAGCCATTAAAAATACTAGATTGCAAACAGTTTTATGTTCCACTGTCACCAAACAAGTTTAGTATGAAACATTCAATGTACTGCTGGCATTGCCTTACTTTTGATTTTCTTACCCCCACATTCTTTTTTCCATTTAACTTTTAGTCACTGTCCAAAACCAACTGGATTCCACCCAGGCAACCCATATATTCACCTTCAAGTGTGCGATATTTTTTTTTCATTATACAAACAAAGAGAGATCTGATTCTAAG